TCCTAATTTCGTTATGAGTGTGTTTCTGTTACCTATTCAGCTTTGTGAAGAAATCGAAAGAATCATGAATAAATTTTGGTGGCAATCTAATAAAGGGGAAAGCAGAGGCATCAACTGGATTGCATGGAACAAACTCAGCCTTCCAAAATCACAAGGTGGTATAGGATTCAAGAAGTTACATGAAACTAATCTAGCTCTCCTTGGTAAGCTCGGGTGGAAGCTACTAACACAACCTACATCTTTGGTTGCTCGGATCTATAAGGCACGCTACTTTCCTTCTTCAACATTCTTGGAAGCTAATATTGGCTATAGGCCAAGTTATATCTGGCGCAGTATACTTGCTGCTAAATCTGTCCTAAAAGATGGGTGTAGACTTCGAGTGGGTAATGGCTCCTCAATTAGAATCTGGCATGACCCTTGGCTTCCTAATCCCCGCCAAGGTTTTGTTACTTTAGAACCAAGCCCAGGAAGAGAAGATGCCACTGTTGATCAACTTATCTTAGCAGGGGAAAATAGTTGGGACTACAATCTTCTCGCTGATCTTTTTAATGAGGAAGACCGTGGGCAGATCATGAAAATTCCCCTAACAGCACATGGGAGGGAAGATCGAATGTTCTGGATTCATGATAAGAAGGGTGCTTACTCAGTCAGAAGTGGGTATAAGCTATTGATGGCAGATTCTTTCACACACTCTCATACTACTATTGAGAGTTTTTGGAACAAAATTTGGAGATATAAAATTCCAGCGAAGGTTCGAAATTTAATTTGGAGGGCATCGCTAAATGTTCTTCCAACAACTGATCAGTTGAGGGCTAAAAGAGTCGACGTTGATAGCCATTGCCCGATTTGCTTAATGCACGAAGAATCTGTTCTCCATGTTTTTGTCTCTTGTGAATTAGCCCAAAAGGTTTGGGAGACAGTGGGAATAGCCAGTTCACCCCGCTTGGTTGCTAATTTCCAAGACTGGCTCACAACTACCTTAAAGAATCATCAGCAAGATCAAGAGATTATCGCTATGCTTTGTTGGGCTATATGGATGAACCGAAATGAAACCGTTTGGAATGCTAAGTCGTTTACAGTACTTAAGGTGGTGACTATTGCAAAAAATTTCCTCCAACAATGGC